GAAAAGGCTCTATAAAGTACCATTAGTGTGAGACAGCCAAGAACGAAGCTTGAACTCATCACCGAGCTGACGAATTTGAGATCACGTCCCGCCTGGTAAATAACAAACAACGTTTAGTTTAAGCACACTATCTTCTATCAAGATTAGAAAAATCGAAAGCTTTATTAAGTTGCTTGCTTCTCAAGAAACCATGTAATCTAACAAGAGCTTTGTAATTTACCAGCAATGTACCCTCGAGGGATACTGTCATAGGCAATGCAGACAACGCCATGAAGAAAGGTATAAGCAATTTATGCATCTGGAAACAGATCAAGAATCAGATTAGACCAAGTTAGAAGCAAAAACACATGAAACAAATGTTGATTTGAAAACCAAAAACAGACCTGGGATATGATGACTTTATCATGTGTGTAGACACCAGGAAACAGGCCTGGAACCGCTGTTCCGATAACTCCCAAGACTAATCCAAGGGTGGCTCCAATAATCATTAGGGACTTAAGCAACGTTCTAGCCTTTGGAAGGTTACGGTTCGCACCATATAACATCTCTGGCATAAAGGACTGAGCCGTTTGAGAGAGTGGCTCACCCCATACGTTGCACATCCTGTACGTCTGAGCCATCACCTATAAAAAAACCAGAAATATAAATATACAACACCAACAATGCTAGGCATGAAGATCTCTGTTTTGTATTGTACCTGATGAGCGGCTAAAACGTGAGTTCCCATGGAAGTAGCACAGTAGATGATGAAAGAGTAGAAAGCAATCTTGGAGAAGATGGAGATAAAAACAGGTGCAGCGAGTGCAGAGATCTTCCATAGCTCTTGCGGTGAAGGGATCGCAAAAGAGTAAGCATTGTAGCCTTCTTTGTTCAGAGAATCCATCATCATATAAGCCGAAACAATCTATAACCATAACACACAAACACATTAATCCGTAATGAAATCTTCTGCATTTTCATTTACATTTTACAAGTTTTGGGCTTCATGGTATTGTTTATATTACCTGAGAAGCAGTTGTTGCCCAAGCAGCTCCAGCGATACCTTGCCCAAGAAACAAGCATAAGATTGTATCTCCAAGACCGTTAATGATCGTTGCTGCAGCTAAAGCCTTAAGAGGTCCCCATGAGTTCTTCATTCCAAGACTGAGACAGATTCTCACATCAAATCAAGCAATAAAGAGGCGAAAAAATCGACACAGAACATCGAACGTTAAAGCTAATTAATAAGAAGGGAAGTGTAAGAAACCTTGCGCTTTGAGCAACCAATCCAACAAGGATAAACGGCCACGCTAAGCCTCGAATCTGCAAGACAGAAAGATTCCAGTTAAAGAGAGGCATCATTTATCAGAAGAATTTGAAACAGAGAATGGTCAAAAGAACAAGAACCTGAATATATGTATTAGCTGCAGGGACAATCTCAATGTTCTTCCCCCTTGTAAAAGCTGCAAAAAACCATGACAAAAGTCTAAATACATTTCACTCAAAAAATTACTAAAAACGGAAACATACTTTTGTACTAAAAATTGTTTACCAGTAACAGCCCAAGGACCGAAAAATCTTGTGAGCAGAAGCATCATTAGTCCACAAACCAATCCAATGAAGAGCAAGACAGAGATTTGATGTTGCGCTTCTTTCTTGTCCTGCAAGAAAAACAAATAACATTTGAGATGTTTCCACATCAGAAGAAGACTAAGTTGAAAGAGTAAAAAGTAAATTACCTGTTTGGCAAGAGAAGTTGCGACCATGTTGGATGTAGCCACGGAGAGGAACATGAAGACGTAACTCATGTGGTCGCATAGTACTGTTCCGGGTCCTATTAAACCGGTAATTTTCTCAGCCATCGTACACAATTATTACCGTATTCTCACCCAAAATCAAACAAATAACTTTAATTACTGAATTATGTTAGTTAGCCTTTGAGTTGACTAGTTCAATTTGTATAAATCAAATGCATAATAATAAATTTGAAAACGGTCTTTAACTTTGACCGACGAGACTAAACCATTTATTTGGCTTTTCTTCAGACCAACACAATTAACTTTGACATATGTATTTTGTTCTTTTTATTTAGTGTTACCGATATTTTTTTCTGTCTACAAGACTCGTGAAAAACGTTACACAAATACAAAATTTTGAAGTTGGTGAACCGACACAAATCTAATGATTGGCTTGGAAAAATGATTAAAAATAATAAGATGATATAGCTGGACACTTGCATAATTTGTTTACCCGTTTTTTAAACTCTTTCTGGTTCACATGGTTCCAACAAATCTGTGTAATATTATTCGAAAGAGACTAAACAAAGGAACCAAAAACAGTATGATTGGGGACCAGTCCGGTTCAAAATTGGCTACTAAACCGGAAATATAAGTATGATTGAAAAGCGTACCAAGAGCAGCGAGTTCGATGGAGCTTCCTTGGCCGATGACGACCGTGTCGATGAGACTCATCAACGGTCCACAAATCCACATCCCCATCGCCGGACCTGTGAACTTCACTATCTCTTTCATCTGTTCCCATATGCTCTGTTTCACCAGATCCCCTCTCTTCTTCTCCTCTTCTTCTTCGTCGATTTCCGGATCACTTCCGACGCAGTTCCTCGTAACTTGCTCTAATTTTATTCTCCGCGGAGTCACCACCGGATTTCCTTGGAAACTCGGAGTTGCGGTGATCGCACCGAGTTTTCTCCGAGTTAGCACCGATTCTGCGACCAGTGTCTGGTGGTAGTTAACCGGAATCGGTCTTGGTTTGGGAAAGAGAGGAGAGAAAAGGGTCAATCTTTGGGATTTGATTAGCATTTTGATTGATTTGGTTAAGAGAAATTTGGTGAATCTGATCACCGCTATGAAGTTTTTGGTTGTTTTTGGCGCCTCGAGATTTGTATACAGAAAAAAAACAGAACCCAACCAACTATCTTTATACTACTCTCTCTTTACCACGTGATGCTTTTCTTTTCTTTTCTTTTTTTCTTCCGAAATTACTCTTCTACGAAATTACAGTTAAAATAAAATAACCCATTAAAAGAAATTGAAATTAAAAAAATGTATATAGAAAGAACATCACTTGCTCCATTATTAACCTATACAATTATTTAGTTGGTGGTCTAATCACATTTCTTGCTGTCATTTGTCACTATGATAATTTATTTATCATATAATGTAATTATTTACATGGCAAAGATACAGAAATAAACAAAACAATAGTCTTTAATTACAATTTACACTCAAACTTACAATACAAGTCTTTTCATGGTCTTTATTATTTAGTCAATTAAAAGAGACTATGAAAAAGACTTGTATTGTTATATAATTTAAAAAAAAAACTCTGAAAAGACTTTGAAAAGACTTGTATTGGTAATTTTAAATGTCAATTTATTTAAAGACTAATGTTATTTTTTTTGTTTAAGTCAATGGTGTTGCGTTGTTACGTTATTTCTTAGAAGATGTACATATTCACTTTCTCATTTATGAATTAAATTAGGAAACAAATTTCTCTCGAGCTTGACTTCAGTGTGATGACGAAAACATCATTTATACATATGTTTATACTATAATTCAAAATATTAGTTAAAAAAAAATGGTAAAGAATATAAGCAAGCAAAGTTTCTAAAATTAAAGGGAAAATACCAACTTGTATAACGCAAATAAAGAATCGCAAATAAAGAATATTAAGCAAGCAAAGTTTTTTGAATCTCTTATGTCAAAGACGATAATTTTCCCAAAAGGTTGACTACATTTATTTTTGCTTTCGCAAAAGAGTTACAAAGAAAAGTATGTAACATTTCCGACCTCCACGCGATTTCTTGGTAATTTTCATGGCCATAGATTACAAAAAGTGTAGATAATACTATTCATTAAGGAAACAAAGACGTTAGGTAAATTTCGTCGTAAGTTATGTTCCATTTCTTGATAAGTTTTGTCATTTTATAAGAAAAGTAAAATCGATTTAATAATTTGGATTCTCAAATCCAAAAACAAATGACTAAACGAACATAGGATTTTAACTAGTATTTATAAATCATAGAACCAACAACACATGATTTTAATTAAGATTTTAAAATCAATGATTGAATAACAAATAATTTTTGTTTGGATTTCTAATTCCTTATAAAGGTATGATGAAAGTTAAGATTATCCGACATGTGGTTGATTTGGAAAAAAATCAATCGTATATTTTTTATAACATATTAATATTTGTTAATTAAATGGTTTCCTATTAAAATGCTAAAGATTTTGTTGCAACTAACTTTGTTTTCCTAAATAAAATGAATAATATAAATTCAAGATTTAAACCCACTAAACGAATTGGAAATTTTGCATAACTACAAGATTTTATTCTTATTTGATTAAACATATATGTAACATATTATTTGTTTGTGAAGATTTAAAGATATCCAAAGATATATTATATGTCTCACCAAAAATGTTCATATATATTGTAAATATTTTAACTTTATAAGAATTATAATATTTAAACTTTATAAGTATTTAAACATTATAATTTCAAATTTTTTTATAATATTAATGATATTAGAATAAAAATGTTACTATTATATATGTATTTTAAATAAAAATATTATTAAAAATAAAAATAACAAAATGATGTTTAATTTCACGGGACGGGGTTATATGGTGGGACGGGTTTGGATCGATATTAATACGAGATGTTATACTAAAGGTGAAATTCTAAAATTAACAATCAGAATATAACTATACAATTTTAAACACTGAAAAACAACTGTCACTTAAAATTTAAAATTTTTAGTTGCAAAAAAATCGACCCCGGATCAATCCTTAAAATCTGTGACGATTATTACATAAATATTTCATATAATAACAATGCAAATACGACAAACAAACAATAATATATATAACAAAGAAAAATACCGTATGATGACTTTTTAAATTTCACATAATAACGTCTAATTGATCAAATTCCAAACAAAAATAATTAATTTGTATATACATCAAACAAACAAAATTATTAAACTGATCCACAAAATTGAGCCCACTTTGACACCCTTAGTTGGAATCAAGTCTTGGTTTATGTGTGTCAAAGGCCATTGGGCCATTAAGACAATGTGGCCCATCATGTTATTGGGTGTAGTGGTTTGACCGACATTGTTCAAAAAAGTCAAGCTTAGGTAGTATATATAATGAAGATCTTAACCAGAAAAAGATTTAAGCTAAGAAAAGAACTTGCTAAACCTAATCTTGAACAAAAGTAAGAAGTATAAACAGGAAGATCAAAACGCAGTTTGCCAACCAACCCTAATACTCGTGTGAGCGGAGAACAAATTCACTTTTCAGTACGATTCCGATGAACGCTACAGAACAGTCTCTTCTCCATGCGTTTTCGAAGAAATCTTCGACCGTCGAAGACCAGGAGATGCCCATCCGACCTCTCAATGCCTCAAGCGCAGAGAAACCGGAGATCGACGTTGCAATTGGGGGTCTCTTCGACATATTGAAGGCTGAGAAATCTGTCGTCGAGAAGGAGCCTGAGGCATTCCGACAAGCCGTGGGCAATATTCTCGAGCGGCGTTTGTTCTACAATCCATCTTTCGATATCTACGGTGGCATCACCGGACTTTTAGATTACGGTCCTAGTGGCCGCCTTGTTGAACTTAATGTACTTAGCCTCTGGCGTAAGGTGAAGAACAATCACTTATCTCTGCACAATTCGGTATAGACAAAGACTGATGGAATTTAATTTAATTTTTTTTAACAGTTTTTCGTTAATGAGGAGGACATGCTTGAAGTTGGTTGTTCAGCTTTAACACCAGAGATTGTTTTCAATGCATCTGGGCACGTAAAAAAGTTCACTGATCTTATGGTCAAGGATGAGGTAAATGGAGCATTTCACCGTGCGGACCACTTGGTCAAGGGTTATTGTGAAAGTCGAAAGAAAGATGTTACCATCTCTGCTGAGAAAGCTGCTGAATTGGACAATGTTCTCGCTGTTGTGGAAGATCTTTCTGCTGAAGAGCTTGGTGCCAAAATAAAGGAGTATGGTATCACTGCTCCCCACACTAAGAATCCACTTTCTCATCCTCCTCGCCCGTTCAACTTGATGTTTCAAACATTCTTTGGCCCAACTGGTTCATCTCTCGGGTGAGTATATATTTTTCATGTAATAAATCGTTTCTATGCTTGTTTGTTTTATCAAAGTTAATTTGTTTTTTCTTTCTTTTTTGTGTGTTTCAGTTACCTCCGTCCTGAAACTGCTCAAGGCATTTTTGTGAACTTTATGAACTATTATAATGACAATGGGAGAAAACTTCCTCTTGCCGTGGCTCAAGTTGGTCGAGTCTTTAGGAATGAGGTGGATATTCTACTTGATATATTTATCTCAATCTGTCTTTTAAGGTATCTTTTTTCTTATTATCTCTGTGTTTCGATCGCAGATATCTCCTCGTCAAGGGCCTATTAGAGCTCGCGAATTCTTGCTGGCAGAAATTGAACACTTTGTCGATCCTGAGAATAAGTCACATCCCAAATTCCCTGATGTAGAATTATTGGAATTCCTTATGTTTCCAAGAGAAGAACAAGAAAAGTCTGGCCAATCTGCTAAAAAACTTTGCCTCGGCGAAGCTGTTGCCAAGGTCAGTATTTGTAATCATATTCGCCGACGTCTTTTTTTTTCTACAACTGAAAAATGCATGTATTCTTATAGGGGACTGTCAACAGTGAAACTCTAGGATACTTCATTGGGAGAGTGTATCTTTTCCTTGTCCATCTTGGCATAGACAAGGAACGGCTGCGTTTCCGCCAGCACAAAGCAAAAGAAATGGCCCACTATGCAGCAGATTGTTGGGATGCTGAAATTGAGTGTTCATATGGGTGGATTGAATGTGTTGGAATTGCAGATCGGTCTGCTTACGACTTATGTGCCCACTCCGTAAGAAACTTACCTCTTACATTAACTCTATTTTCTCGTCATTTTGTTTGACAGCTAGATAATTAATGTATTCAAAACCCATATGTATGTTTTCCTATTTATAATTTTTACTAAGTAGATTGTGGACTCTCTGTTGTATGGCAGGAAAAAAGTGGCGTTTCTCTTGTGGCTGAAGCGAAATTGGCAGAGCCTAAAGAAATAGAGGTATTCTCTTCCACATTTTCATCTCTGTCTTTACAACGTAACTTGTCCTTAATACGGTTCTTTTTTATTTCAGAAACTTGTTATTACTCCTGTGAAGAAAGAACTGGGTGTTGCATTCAAGGCAGATCAAAAGAATGTGGTTGAAGCTTTAGAGGTAAACCGACTGTGAAGTCTCTATTGTCTTACTGAATATATATTTTTCAGTTGATGAATAAAGAACATGCTTTGTGTAATGTTTTGTTAGGCGATGAATGAGCAAGAAGCTATGGAGCTGAAGGCAACCCTGGAATCCAAAGGTGAAGCAGAGTTTGAAGTGTGTACCCTCGGGAAAAACGTGACCATCAAGAAGAACATGGTGTCAATCTCAAAGAAGAGGACGGAAGTGCGCAAGCGGTTTTTCACTCCGTCAGTGATTGAACCATCGTTTGGTATTGGTCGGATTATGTATTGTCTCTACGAGCATTGTTTCAGCACAAGGCCAAGCAAGGCGGGAGATGAGCAACTGAATGTGTTCCGTTTCTCTCCTCTTGTAGCACCCTTCAAGTGCACGGTTTTGCCGCTTGTGCAGAACCAACAATTAGAGGAAGCAGCGAAAGTCATTTCCAAACAACTCAAATCTGATGGCATCAAACACAAGATTGAAATCACTGTTACGTTAAAACAGATTGAAACTATAAGTGCTTATATTTTCAAAAAGGAGCAACTATAATTGAGAAGATTCACGCTTGTGTGTGTGTGTGTGTGAGTGTGTGTGAATAGGTGCATCCATAGGAAAGAGATATGCAAGAGCCGATGAGCTTGGTGTGCCATTTGCAATAACAGTGGATTCACCGACATCAGTCACGATAAGGGAAAGAGATAGCAGAGACCAAGTCCGAGTCAGCTTGAAAGAGGTAGCTTCCGTCGTGACCTCCATGGCTGAGGGGAAGAAGACGTGGCAAGACGTCTGTGCAAGGTTGAATGGTTAGGGTCGGGGCTGTGTTTACAAATACTAAGCAGTATTATTTCATGCATGTTCTTGCTACTAATGAAACCAGTTGTAATTAACCTAGTTAAGATTGTTAACTACATACGTTAGATAAACTAAAACTATGTTAAGTGTGCTTTAAAAACTGTTATTATACGGATTGAGATGTTATCACTATACCAGTGAGGAATTACGACCAGGGGCACTTGCTGTTTGCGTTTTATTTTAAATCTTACATTCCTCTGCAAAATTCAAGATATCGACTGCTTACCATAGAAACAGGCCCGGCTCAAATATTGGCGAGACCATGTGCCGACTCAAAGAAATTAAGGGCTTTGAGATTAAAAAAAAAAAAAAAAAGTTAAAGGGGTGTGTTATTGGTTTATTGATTTGTAAATGTACATATGTGAAAAAATGCTTTTGTCCTCTCACAGACCGTTAGTTCATAATGTTAGTTTAGTGGTTTTATTTTCTTAGAGTTAAAAGATGTTAAGGAAAATAACTAAATTAGTTTATTGAATAATGAAGTCCAAGATATATTTTAACCTACATTGAGAAATCCTTTCCGAAAGCATTTGAATTATGGAAAATATTGTTAGATATCATCGGAGCTGAGATTTCTTTTGCTTATGATCAGATTTTGTGTAAATGTAAAAAGAGAGGAAGAAACATAAATCTAGCTAAATACTGGACAACAATGGCAACAAAAACCACCAAGTTTCTTCAAACAGATAAAACTAGTGTCCCAAGAATCACCGAAACCCACCAAAAAAGCCATTAGAACACCTCGATGACCTTAGTTGCGAGGACACGATCCCTTCTTTCGATGTAATCATAAGGAAACCACCCCGCTTTGCCTTTACATTCTCCTTCTGCCCACCCGCTACTCACTACCTGGATCAGCATAAAGACATGTGAATGAGTCCTCAAAGATCAAAGATGAGTTTTAAGATTCTTTCGGTTATTTGATGTCCCGAGCCAGAAAAGAATGGTCTTATATGCTTTGATTTGAATGCTAACCTCTCTGATAACAACATACTCTCCAACTGATAAGGTGAGCTCAAAATCAGATTCAGCTTGATACGGAAACATGACCTGTGTGGAAAAAGATAGGCAACTTAAGAGATTAATTAAGCTCTTGTGAACATAACAAGATGACATTTTTAAGTACATTAACCTCTCCTAAGAAGTATCCCATGGCGTCTGATGTTCCATTATGCATTTGAGAAGCATTGACTCCATCATTGGCTTCTTCATAAGAAGGAGGAGGCCAAAATGTGATGTTCTCTACTTGTGGATTTTGAGGGGCTTCGATTCTTTGTTGCTCAAATCTCATCTATACAATGAAATTATGTCACTCGGAGATTAACAATGTAGAAAGATGTGGCCAATGGAGATATATATACCTCTCCTTCTAGCCGTTCAATAACCTCAAGGATCCTTTGATGATAATTACGCTCTGCTTCAACCTTTTCATAGAAACATGCAAAAGCAAGAGAGTAAATAAATGATTTTGAAGCCAAAACAACTTCCAAGTCTTACCAAAACAGTTGTCTATGTAAGTACCAAAGTTATTAGCCGCTGAAGAGTTTGGTTTTGCTGTTGATCTTCGACTCCAGCCATGGCAGAAGCTGCTTCCTTCCCCAATATTGTCATGTTTGATTTAAGGTCTTGTAGTTTTGCTTCAGCAGATTCCAGCTTCATTACTAGTTCGGGATTACCGGGATTCTCTCTAACCTTAGCTTGCCGTTTTGATACTTCTATAGTCTGCGTAGGTTCAAGAAAAAATGTTAGTAAAAAAAACACAATTTAGTGTCAGAAGTTAGAAGAAGCGGCGCTGCTGAGTACCTGAGCTTCAGCTTCTTGTCGCATCCGATCATACCGCTGTGTTAAATGTCGAGCATCCTCCAATGGGGCACCCATTACCATTGCCCTTAATGGCTCAGCGACCTAATAACTTCATCATGTAAAACTTAGCTATATTGCTACAAAAAAAAAGTGCATAGATTTTTCCAAATAAAACGGTTTGAAACCTGAGTTCCAAGAGTCTTCAAGAGATTTCCGCGCTCTTTCTCCATTTGAGCCCGGGCATTTGCGAAACTTAGTGAAGCTCTTGTTAGTGTATTACCACTTGTACATGTATTTTCCGAACCATATCTCCTACTATCCTCACACAACTTAGTCCCTAACCGCAACAAAATGAATCAGAAGACAATTATATGATTCTTAAAAACAGTAGAAACACAAATGCATAAGAAAAAAATCACCTATTTCGACTTGTTTGGATCCAGTAACGATAAATCCTTCAACACCACGAACAATATCCCGTTGAAAATGCTGAGAAGAAAAGTAAATTTCAGGGTTTCAATGAAGAAACTGTACCAAGACCAAGATAATTAAAGTTGTTGTAACAAGCTGGAAATATCAAAAACCTTAGCAGAACGTGTTGAGAGGTAGAGCTTCTCGAGTTTCTGATGGCGATGAAACTCTTCCTCATCGGTTATTACAGTGTCTGAACCTCCATAACCTCCTCCCCCAAATTGTCTCAGAACAGCCTCCATCAAAATTTGCAACAGAACATAGAAAACATCAACATACAAGAGCCTTTGAAAGCTTATTGTAAAAAGATTATCAATTTCAGAGATCAACGATTAAATATCAAACCAATAGCACCAAAGATACAAGTAATCACAATTGAGCCTAAATCAACTAAAATTGTAAAAAAAAAAAAAAAAAAAAAATCAATTTGAGAGATCAAAGATTGTAACTTTTCCAACTTTCACACTATCGATTAAAGACCCAGACGCCAACACCATCTACTCAGATCAAACTCAACCAAAACCCATCAATTAATCATAAGTAAAATTGATAATCTTGAGATATAATTTAGGGTTTTATGAGTTTTCAATACCTGTTGCTGTCTGGCCACTTGTTCTCTGAGCTTAGAAGCTTGCTTTCTGATTGTTTCCATTCGTAAAGAAAACACTATCTCTCGATCTTCGTCTTCTTCCTCCTTCCTTGTGAGAGAGAGTGGGTTTGAAATCAAAACCTACCGTTTGGTATGGTATCAGATAGAACATTAACTTTGAATTTACTTTTACTTTTTCAAGTCTCACTTTTTAATCTTATAACAAACCTAACCCCTATACTTTAAGAATCGTCAACATTTTACCGCTATTGGTCTCCATCAGACAAATATCCTCATTAATGTATGATTTTTTACCTTCATATATTCCTAGATATTTAACTTTTGTATTCAAACTCCAAAACTCTACTAATATAACCTATTTGCATAGTGCTAACTGGCAACAATCAGAGCATATTAGAGTACTTAATTCCTAAGACACTATTTGTCATGATTGGGACATACTAAAATCCGAACCTCTTCACAAGAAATAAGACGATGACGACTATAGCACATCCATTGATATCGCACCTATTGGAAAAGAGTCAGAAAATCCAAACTGTCCACGATTGCAAGTAGGAATCAGTAAACCGTAGTCTAAGAAACTCAGAGACAGTGACCATGGTATAGTATTTAACGACGATCAATACCACCAATGCCACAGAGTTTTCGTCGGTAATTTTGCTTTTTGAGAACGATAGTCGCTTCGACCAAACACATCAAGCAACTAAAACCAGATATATATCAAAAAAATTTCAAATAATGAGATGTAGAGTTTTCTTTATAATTTGTATATAAGATAAGATTGATAAACAATAAAATCTAAAAGTATAACATCTGAAAATCATGTTTAATTGAAGTCAATAGTTCTTTCTCAGAGAGTTTCGTTTTGTCATTATACATTTCTGACGTAAATGCTATTTGAAACATTGTGATGATGAAGAAAGTACAAATGGTTAATCGTGATGTAATATCAAAATATAGACCGTTGATTCTCCAAGCAGATCCTAAGATGGCTATCCATAAAATACAACCAGCCCCAATCCCATCCACGTCGTAAATCAATTGAGCCAATGAGACTGTAGCGATGATGACACTTAACGTAAGGAGAAAAACATCCCATCTCTGCCAAGTGTAACAGTTATAAAACATAGATACACTCACAATTAATGATATGATGGCGAGCAAGATTGGTCGGCCTTTGAGACTAATTTGTGGTGGATCCCAAGGAATAAAACAATAAGCTAATCTGAAAACGTTCTTTTCATAGTAAATCGTTTATGTAAATCAAATGCCTAACGGCTAAAATTTATTGCTTTATAATAAAAGGAACTCGTCCATTGCTAGATTTCCAATCTAAAATAAAATTTATCTTTGTTGGGATATATTATCGACTGCTGCAAAAAGACAGAGAATAGTGACTACCATTGTTTTCTTTAAAATTTAAGATTTATTCTTCAAATGTCCAAAAGGGAAACAAATCTTTCATTTTTAATTATTATTCATCACAATAAATCTAATACAACATGTACAAATATTTATTATTTAGTAATAGCCACTCAAAATGTATAAAACTTTTGTTTTCTATATATTCACACAACAGCCAAATTCTTGTGTCCCATACAAAAAAAACTCTCCACCATCTTTTCACTCTCTCTATTAGAAAAACAGTAAAAGAGAAAAGATGGATTGTTTGCTTTGCTCCCCAATTTTACATGTTTTTCTAATTTTTCTTTGGTATTTTAGTTAAAATTTTGTTAAATCAAAGTCTTTCCTTTCAACCTGGTCCAATAAGATATCCAATGATAAGAAACTTAAAACTTAAAAATAAGTTGAATCATCGTGATTTGTGTTGAGTTAGCCAAACAAATTAGTGGTCTTTTACACCTTCAAATGGGTAAAATTCCTATTGTAGCCGTTTCTACAGCTGAAATAGCTCGAGAAATTCTTCAGGTAAGTGATTTATTTGAATTTAAATTATTACTTTTTTTTTTTTTTACAACATAATATTTTAATGATTCATCTAAAGCATTTATCTGGATTCTAAATTCTAACAAAATTAAAATAAACTAGTTGAAGCCAGTAGTTTTTTCTTTGACAAAAGAAGCCACTAGTTATTCCTCGAGTTTAAAACCGCGTCCGTATAAACTACTGATGTGAACGCCATTTGAAACATTGCGGTGATGAAGAAAGTACAGATAATTGATCCTGATGTAATATCAAAATATAGACCGAAAATTCCCCAAGCAGATCCAAAGATGGTTATCCATACAATATAACCAGCCTCAAGCCCA